TAGTCTCTTTTATAAGCTTAAATTACGCGTTACTTATCTCTCAATTCTCTTATTCAATTCTCTACTAATCTTTTACTTAATTAAAGACTATTCAAAGCTTATCTATACGCGATATAAAACGCTTTAGCTAGTTCTTACCTAAAGGCTGTTAGAGATATAAGCTAATTAGCTAATCTCTGACATAATCCGGGTGCTCGGCACTATACTCGGATTCTTTAGTTAACCAATCTCTAAATAGTTTATCTATCTATTACGTCTATAGCTACGTAATCTACTACTAGATAGATTCTTGTAGAATCTAGTGCAGCAAATATATATAGTAGTAGAATAGCTAGTAGATAGAAACTAGAGTAGATTGCACAAAGCAGACTACTAGTGCAGACAACAAGATAAGATCGGATCAATCCAATTCTTCAATCTCTCTCCACTAGCATTATTTCTCTCTTTTCATCCTAGAACCTATTGATTTGCTACCTCTGAGTCTATCGCTAGACAAGTAGACGACTCTACCTCTGAGCTAGCTATAGAATAAGTAGCACCCTCCTTATTCTAACAAAGGCTAGCTATCTTATACGCGTAATAGTTTCTCCACTATATCTACTATTTTATATAGATAGACAGTAAATCTATTTAAGTCTAAGTTAAGAATATGTTGTATAATAGATTTCTCTTTCGATTTAGTTAGCTTCTAGTAGTTTAGCTAAGTTATATGTTTAAAGATAATTTCTTAAAGCCGCTAAGAGATCTACTAGTAATATACGTTATAGGCTACTATAGCGAGTAAAAGACTTTTAAACTAACTTATATAATAGGCCTAATTAGCTAGAGTAAGCCTTTCTTTTTACTAAGTTAATATTACGTTCTATTATTAAGGCATTATCTTTCGTACATAAAGTTCGCGTTACTAAGAAAATGTATTATACTTCATAGAGTAGAACTCTTAATATTAAAAAAGTTACTAAATACTATTATATAATTTTATTACAGCTTAACGTTATATAACGAAATACTTACTCTACTAGCGTAAGATACTATTATCTAGAAGCTTAAAACGCCGTATAACGCGCTTAAAACAGAGACTTAGACTATATTTATCTAAAACTATTTATAAATTTAGTAAAGGCCTTTTATAACTTCTTATATGAAGTAAATATAATATATTCTACTGCTAAATGTACTATATTACTAATTATACTATTCTTTCTTAGCATTATAAACTTTACGTATAATAGATAATACCTAAATAATAGTATTTAATATTAACTTAGTAAGAAGGTAGACTTACTCTAGTAGTTTAGGCCTATTATATAGGCTAGTTTAAGAGCATTTAATACGCTATAGTAGCCTATAACGTTTATTATTAGTAGATCTCTTAGCGGCTTTAAGAAGTTGACTTTTAACCTATAACGTAGCTAAATTACTAAATGCTAACTAAGTCTAAAGAGTAAACTATTATATAATATATTCTTAACCTAGACTTATAAGAATTTACTTTCTATCCATATAAAGTAGTAGATATAGTAGAGAAACTACTATATATATATAAGATAGCTAGCCTTTAAATAAATACTAAGTAGAGTAGTTTATTACGCGTAATGATAAGCTTAAAACAGCCTTTAATTAAGTAAGGAATTTTTAAATTATTTAGTAAGAGAATCTAGAGATAACTAACGTATAGTTTAAGCTTATAAAAGAGACTATTAGAGAGTATAGAGTTTATTTTAATAATGTCTATAACTTTTATAAAATTAGCTTTTAAATAGGCGTAATTATCTTAATAAAGCTAGTTATAAGTATAGAGTATTATATAAGACCTATTCTTAGTCAGCTAAGTAATTATAAGTAGATTAATATTATCTAGAGTATCTACTCTTTAGAATATACTACTATACTATTTATTATCTATAACAAATGCGTCTATATCTCTATATAGTACAAAGAAATATATATACTATTTAATTAAAAGCTCTTAGTATTATAAAATACCTAGATAAATAACGCGCTTAGTTTAGCGTAGTTAAAGTACTTTAATAAGCATATAAAGACGTATTAGGTGAGATTATATAAGCTACGAATTCTTAATAGCTATAAAAGCTATCTAAACTAAGAATTTAAGAATTACTATCTTATACAAAAGATTCTTACTCTCTATAACGTATTCTATCACTAAGAGAGCCACATCACTAAGAGGGCCACTTTTTCTTAGCATCGCGAACTTTATATTTAAAAACTTAAATTACTCTATACTAGCTATAGATACCTTATACGACTTACTCGTATCTAAAGAAGAATCTTCATCTTTATCTTTTTAGCACGTATAAGAGTTATAGCCTATCCTTCTACAGGTTCTATAGCGCTATTAACCTAGTAGAGTCCTCTCTTAACTACCCTTACTACGTGCCTTCTTTAATATCGTACGACTAGAAGAACTACTTTTAGCTACCTATAATACCCCTATACTAAAGTCTAGTATCCCACCTATCTAAATTCGCTTTCTTTTACGCCCCTAGCGCTTTATTACCTCTACTAGTTACTCTTTAAGCTCTTATACGCAGGCCTGTATTAGTATATTCTTATATACTATCTTCTTAGCTCCTTTAATTAGCTTTAAGAAGCTTTCTTATATAGTAGTTAGTAATCGTACAAAGGAGTCTTTTATAAGTTTCAACTATAACCTAAATTCGTACGAATTACTTAGTATTTTTAACTACTAGAGTATTTCTAGCTAAGTAGCTTATAGTAGAGTACGAAGGTATACGTTAAGGCGATTAATAACTCTCTGCGCGTTAATAGGGACTAGCCCTACTATCTTAAAGGCCTTCTTATAATTATTAGGCGTAAATACGTTGCGAAACGCGTCTTAAAAGACTAGAAGAAAGCGTTCTTTATTAATATGCTAGACGTAGTAGCGTGCTAAGTCTCGTACGCGTTAGAAGTACTTCTACTTAAAAGGCGAAAAGTAGATAAAGTTAAGCGGCTAAAGTATATACGATAAATAAGTAGGTATATAAAGAGTAAGAAACTTTCGTATAAGGTAGTATTGAAATAAGGAGGGTACTACTTATTCTATAGCTAGCTGTTACACGGGGTAAAGGTCTATACTTCTCTATTCTGGTCCGCACTAAGGCAGGTAAGTATTACGTTAGTGTTCCGTGAGGCTTATCTAGCGATGCAGTGAAGTTAGCGTGCTTAAGGAGGGTTTAATAAGACTAATCTATTTAATAGACTAACTTGTGACAATCTTATTAAGTAAAGATACTAGTAAGAAAGTACAATTTAAGTTAACTACAACGAATGTAATAATGAAATCTAACCCATTCTTATATCTATTACCTTTAGTCCTACCATCCCTTACTTCCCTGCCATCCCTAGGATAGTTGTAATATTAGGGATAGCTGCTATCCTAAGGCGTCCTACCATCCCTCAGATAGTTGCCCTTAGCGAGATAGCACATTACGTGACTTAGCCCTGCGATAATTATTACCTTCTAACGTAGACGTCCATAGGCCTTCAGCTATCTTATTATTTGTTAAGGAGAGAATCCTTCTTATTACTTATAATATTACCTCCCCTCTTAGGGCTATTATCCTAATACCCTAGACTATTATTTTCCCGTGCCGCGTATTAAGACGCCGGCTATATATAAGGTTAGAGCCCATCTACTTATTATAGCCGTCTCTACCTTATAGCCTTCCTAACTATACCTAAAGTCTAGTCTATTCGCCGATCTCAAAAGTACACTTTAACTAAGGAGCGCCAATACCGTGCCTCAAAAGTAGAGAGTGCTTATTTAGAAATAGTTACTAAGTATAATCGTTGTAAAGAGAAGGGTCTACGTTATTTCGTTAATACAGCGTCTAGGCAGTATACGGGTTATATTACTATAAAGGCAGAGTGTAGTCTTTTTATTTCTAATAAAGATGAGAAGAAGGTTCAGCGAGAAAAGCGTCAGAAGCGTCTTAAGATTGCCTAATTAGAGGCGCAATTAGCTCAAAGAAAGGTTGAGCTTCTAGAGGCTAAGGAGCAAGAGCACTCATTTACTCGTCGCGATCTAGCGGTGCTAAAAGAGTTAGAGCGCGCAAAAGAGCAGGTCACGGGGAGTTCAGCCCCTAGTACTAATCCTCCTGCTATTAAACCATCACTATCCGGACTATTAGCTAATCTAAGCGGGTTATAGGCTAATTACTATAATCCTTCTTTTAACTATTCCTTCCTCTTTAAGAGGCTGCCTGTTATAAGTAACAAGAAGAATTCTCTCCTTAATAAATAACGAGATGGCTGAAGGCCTAAGGACGTCTACGTTAGAAGGTAATGATTATCGCGGGGCGAAGATCACGTGACTAGCTTCACGCTAAGACTAAGTATCCCGCGCTAGTATGTAAGGACACCCTCACACGTAACTAGATATCTTCAAAGACTTTAGAAGATACAGGGATTATTTCGTGAAGACTATAAAGCCAGAACTAGAAGCAATAAGAATATAAGGATAGATAGATTTCATTATTACTCTCGTTGTAGTTAACTTAAATTATACTTTCTTACTAGTTACTTAACTTCACAAGATTAATACTTATTAGTCTATTCGATATAGATTAGGAATTATTAAACCTATTATTATCTATCTTTTAAGCACGCCTACTCTACTACATCGCTAGACAACTACCTCACGGCGCTATTTACATATCCTTACTCGCCCTAACCCAGATTAAGCTTAGAGAAGTATCAGCACCTAACCCCGTGTAACACTTTAACCACCCACGGATTTAGTAGACTAGACGGATTAATAGTAGAACGCCCAATTAAGATTTAAAATAGTATATAATTACTTAGGATCTTAAGGCAGCGCTAGTAAACTAGTCTAGGGTCCCAGACCAGTACCCAACCTAGCACTTAACGATAAGATGCTAACCCTAAGCGACGACGAGATAGATAAGGATACCTATAACTTACAAGAGTTGTGGAATCTTAGGCACTAAACTATAATTTAGATAAGGTAGATAGCTAGCCTATAGGAAATAGTTAATTAGCTTACGAGCTAGTTAATGGCCACGCCAAACGAAAAACCTATTAGGAAACCTAAGATAGTAACTCTAGATAAGTATAATAGAAGTCGCACTAAACTGCGAACGTTTCTTACTAACATCGACTTATACTATAGATACAACGACGTACCTAACGACAAGGAAAAGATTCTTATAGCTAACACCTACATAAAAGGAAAAGCAGCTAGTTAGATGCAGCCTTACGTAGAGGATTTCTTAGCTAATATGCTAAATAAGAGTACTAAGGACGAGACACGTGCCTTATTTAGCAGCTAGGCCAACTTTAAGAAAGAACTAGGACGCATCTTCGGGGAGGTAGACGCTGAAAGCTAGGCAGAGAAGGCAATCTCGCGCCTAAAGCAGACTAAGTTAGTATTAGTATATATAGCTAAGTTTAAGTAATACTAAGTACGAATTAATTAGGACGATTTAGCGCTTTAAACAACATACGAAGCAGGTCTAAAGGAAATAATTAAGGACGAACTTATACACTACGATAAGCCGAAGAATCTATACGCGCTAATTAAGTTAGTAATAAGAATTAATATAAGACTATAAGAACGAAACTAGGCTAGGAAAAGAGATTAACCTCACTACCTATTTGCTAACTCTTAATAATAATGTGACCGTAAGGATAAAGACGGCAACACGTATATAACTAGTAAGGTATAAGATAGGCCTAAGAATAAGAATAATACCCAAGAAAAGTTTAACGACGGCCTTTCTAAGGAAGAATGCTAGAAGCGTTATAACAATAAAGTATGTCTCTAATACGGGAAGTTAGGATACTTCCGTAGAGACTGCCTAGAAAACAAAGTTAAGTAAGGAGTAGTAAAGATTAAGATAATTCGGATACTAACACTATACCTAACTAAGGAACTAGACGAAACCCTTAGCGATCTAGACCTATATAATAAAGTAAGATAAGCTATAGACGAGGCGTTTAAGCTAGTATAAGAGGTAATAGAACTCTAAGACTTTAAGTAGGACGCACTACTACTAATAGATTAGCAGATTGAAGAGGCCAAAGTGTTACGCCGCTTAAGAAATTAATAGTGCTAGATCTGCGGACTTACTACGCACTTAGCTAACGATTACGACTATAAAGGACGAATTGCAGTCTTAGGACCCTAAGTAGAGAAAATTACCTACTAGGCAGCCTAGGAATAACCTAGGTTTAAGGAACCTAATGACGAGAGAACACCTCGGTTGTTTAAGGAACGAATAGAGTAATATAAGCGCCTATGTTGGGTTGACTATCTAAGATAGTGTGATTACTACTTAAGGAAGAGAGAAAAGACTAGAGATAACGAGGACGATTACTGCTATACTAATTTATAGTATAATAAATGTTGAGTATAGTATTACTATATGCACTAGCTAGGAGAAAAGGAAGCTTATAAGAAGCTATGCTAGATTAAGTGTACGATTAACTGCTAATTCTATAAGGAATAATAATAGAAAGCTAGAAGGGTAGACGACTACTACTATAGCATAATATCCGCTAAGAAATGTATAGTAAAGAACTGTAGAATGTATAGAGCCTAAGTACGGGACACACTAGAAGTAAAATATACTAAACTTCTATGGATGTATTATAAAACCGGATACGCCCTACACTGATAATAGTTTAAGAATACTTAAAAGGTAGATAATTACTACTATAGTACTCTGCTAGCGAACCTTTGTGAGGTAACGAATTGCTTGATTTACGAAAGTAAGAAGCTGGAACTAAGAGAAAGGACTGCGAAGAAGGAGATACTATACTATAATATCTATTAGAGCTTTTGCTATAATGATTAATGTACTAATTACTACGACGCTAAAATCGGCGCGGGACGATTTCCTAAGGAATGGAAGAAGTCGTAGAAAGGACGACTCTCTAAGCTAAAAAACTAGGATGCCGCTAGAGATAGAGTTACGCTAGTAAAGGCAGTTCTAAAACGACCCTTAAAGAAGTGCGAAAAGTAGGAGCGTAAGACCTATAGCTATAAGCTACAGTACTTATAGATAGATATAAGATACTAGCGCTTATAGATAGTAGGGCAGCACGAACTATTATCTTACTACGAGTAGTAGAAGATAACGATATACTCTATTAAACTAAGAAAGTTCTAATATAAGTAGTATTAGCTGACGATAGTCTTACGACATACGGGAACGGCTAGATTTAACTTAAGACTAAGGTAGTAACGTTACGCCTAGCTGGTTAAGAAAGCTAAGAAAGAATTAGTATTATAGATCTAGGAGACACTAAGATAATAATTAGCTATAATTAGTTATTAAAGTATAACCCTACTATAGATTAGTAAAAGAAAATAATACTTAGCAGAGAACCTGTGCATAAGGTTACTAGAGTATGATATAAGATACGCCTAATAAATTAGCGCGTAACCTAGAATAGAAGATTTAGTATAATCTTACTATATAAGATCGCGAGAATCTATATAAAGAACTCTTAGAGTATAGAAGTTATTTAGATATAGTAGATCGCGACTATAAAGGAAGGATTAGTACTATAGTTAGCAATTCTAATAGAATACTAGACGGACGAGTTTAGGGAACTATTTAAGGAAAACGAAGTAATAGACTTAGTAGAACACTAGAATTAGGATCACGAGATTATTCTAGAGGAAGGAGCGAAGTTAAGCCTAGAAGAAATATACTCTATAGCGCCTAAGTACGATACTAAGCTGCGGGATTACCTCTAAAAGAACTTAAAAAAAGGATTTATCTAATTAGGATTAGACCTAATAGCCTTACTTATTTTAATCGTAAAGAAGCCTAACGGGAAGTAATAACTATATATCGACTTTAGGAGGTTAAATAGCGTTACTTAGAAGAACTAGTATCTCTTACTACTTATTACAGAGCTTATAGATTAACTCTAGAGAGCTAAGTAGTTTATAAAGTTTAATATTTAGGAAGAATTTTACTAAATTAGAATTAAAGAAGGTTATAAATAGATAACAGCGTTTAAAACAAAGTATAGACTCTTTAAGTATATAGTTATGCCGTTTGGATTAACGAATACGCTAGTAACCTTTTAATTAGTTATTAATAACGCACTCTACGAGTACCTTAGAATCTTTATTACCGCGTATCTAGATAATATACTAGTATACTCCAGCGGTATACGCGAAGAATATATTAAGTATATTAAGAAGGTTTTATGAAAGCTTAAAGAATATAAGCTATACCTTTAACTAGGAAAGTGTAAATTCTATATATAGGAAACAGAATTCCTTAGATTTATTATATTAACTAAAGAAGTATAAATAAACCTAAAAAGATATAGACTATATAGAAATAGCTAAAGCCTAAAATAGTTAAAGATATCTAGTTCTTTTTATGATTTACAAATTATTATTAAAAGTTTATTAGGGATTATTTAAAGATTACAGCACCCCTTATAGAAGTAATAAAAAAGAAAATAGATTTTAAATAGAAATAGAAACATTAAGAGGTATTTAATTAAATTAAGCAGATATTCCTAGAGGCACTAGTACTTGAGATATACAGCTCTTAACGACCTACTAGAGTTAAGACTAACGCGTCTAACTATACACTTAGAGCTATACTATTATACTAGTACCTAGATAAAAAATAGAGACTAGTATTCTACTATTTATAGAAGTTCTTAAGAGCAGAACTTAATTACGATATTCACGATAAGGAACTACTTAGAGTAGTTAATACCTTTAAATAATAGAAAGTATACCTATTAGGACTCCCTAACTAGATTAAGGTTTTTACTAATTACTAGAACTTAATGAGTTTTATAATAATAAAAAAACTTAACTAATAATAAGTGCGATAGGTAGAAATGCTAGCCTAGTTCAACTTTAAGATTATATACCGCGCGGGAACGCTTAATAGAGCAGTAGACGCTTTAAGTAGGAGGTCTAATTTACGCGAAGAGGGTTATAAAGAACTATATAACGCCTTACTTAAGAAGATATCTAATAGTAGTCTAAAGTATAACTAGCCAGAACTAGCTAAAGTAGCTAAGATAGCCGAGCAGATAGAAACGCTATAATAGTAATAGCAGTAGCGAGCAGCCAGCTAATAGTTTAAGCCTAACGAAGTAGGCTCTAATAAACTATTAAACAACGAACGAGAGTACTAAGATATAGTTTTAAAGAATTGAATATATATACCTCTATATATAAGATTAAGTCTTATATAAGAACTATATAAGTCCTAAGAGTACGGATATATAGAAATTAAAGAAGTAGTTAGATAACTAGCTAAGATATTTGCAATACCACGTATGCGTATAAAGGTATAGGAAATACTAAGTAACTATTTAGCATATTACTAGAATAAGCCTAAGAGATATAAGCCCTACGGCCTATTATAACCCCTATAGCTACTATCTAGACTATAGATAAGTACAATAATAGACTTTATAGTAAAGCTTCTAAAATTATTAGAACTAAGATTAGCCTAATTTTGCGACATAATCTTAGTAATTATAGACTAATTAACTAAGATAGCGAAATTTATACCTATAGAAGGGACTATTATAGTAGATAAATGCGCGTATAAGATTATAAAGGCACTAGTATTAGAGTATAGAATATCTAAAGAGTTTATTACTAATCGTAATAAACTATTTACGTCTAAATACTAGAGTACATTCCTAGTAAAGTTAGGTATTAAGAAGAAGCTTGTAATAAGCTTTTACCTAGAAATAGACGGCCAGACAAAATAAATAAACTAGATATTAGAATAGTATCTATAAATATACGCTAATAAGTTATAGAATAACTAGATAGAACTACTACTAACAGCGTAATTAGCCTACAATAGTACGAAATTAGTAATAACGAAGTATTCGCCGCACTACACAAACTACGGATAACGTGTTCTATCAGTAAGCTGGCCGTATCAGTAAGCTGGCCGCCCCACCAAAATTGACGCGACGTTTTACGCAATTGAGCCACAACAACGTAATATTTTTGGAGATAATTAAGAGATATAATTCATGATCTAGTCCTGCATGACGTCCGAGTATGTCCTACAGTGTGGCATTTCGTGCACGTTGGCGGCGCGCGCTGGCGTCGCTCACCAGTCTGGTTCTGGTCACTGCCCATGACCAACCTTTCTGTCTCTGCAGTAAGCTGCTGAGCCTGCTGCACCTGAAGCACCCCGCCAGAGGCGATATATTGACGGCGCCGGTCTTGCTT